TTGTTGCCAAACATCCCTCATACATTACATACATAACTAGTGATCCCAAAGACAAAAGCCTGAGTATACTCTATCAGTTTGAGAAGAAACTCTATATAAGGGAAGGGGAGGAGGGATATCCTGACTTGTCTGCACCTCCGCCCTAGACAAAGCCATTATAATTTAAAAAAAAAAAAAAAAGCCCTTGGAGTTTCAGTAGGGCTATGGGATTACAATCCTCCAATAGACAATAGAGGGAAAAGTTAGCAGCCTGTAAGGGCCAAGCCCTAGCACTAAAAAGGCAGAGAGGCATCTTTTATAGAAAATCCACAGCTAGCAGGATGCAGAAGGTCCACAACAGGCTCTAACCACTGAGTGTCTAAACAAGAAGGAGCAAAGAAAGTGGATCTGCCAATAACATTCAAATGTTCCAGTCACATGGCTGAAATACAGATCCCATCTAGGACCTGGGAGTAAAGACTAGCACACAGGAGACAGATATCAGCAGGATCCACCATCTCTAGGATCTGGATTGATAATCAGGACATGGATGGTAGCAAGACCCCCATTTTTAGGATCAGGCCATGATCACCTAGTACAATCCCTGCCTTTAGAACCTGGGACTACACACTGGCAATCAGGACACATCAGTAGGATCCCATCTCTAGGATCAGGACATGGATGGTAGCAAGATCCCCATCTCTAGAAGATGGGGCTACAGACTGGTGAACAGGACATGGATGGCAATAAGAGCCCCATCTCAAGATCTGGTTAAAAGGGACCCGGACGGCACAAGATCCACCATCTCTAGGATCTGGACAAGGATAGCAGCAAGATTCCTATCTCTAGGATCAGGACATGGGTGGTAGTAAATTCCCAACTCTAGGATCTAGACTGGTAAACAGGATATGGATATCAGCAAGGTCCCCATTTATAGGATCTGGTGGTAAAGACTGGTAATCAGGACATAGGAGGCAATGACAGACACATTTTAATGTATAGGAAAGATACAAGTCACAGCAGTCAGATATTACACCGAGGATGAGTGTAGTTGAATCCTCCCGATAGAAGGAGGCAGGGGTGGCCTCCCAGGGAGGAAGTCCTGGGTTGAGTTACTCCCTCGCCCATCCGATTGTGTATGGACACACAGGTAGAGGTGATCGGGGCTGCAGTCCGATAACACGATCGGGGCCGATCGGACCCCAGCGATGTACAATACACAGAGCCACACCAAAACAAACCCACCCCGCAGAGTAAAGCCATCGGAGGAGCCATCCGATCAGCCAGGGCGGAGGATCCCCTCCACATCCCCCGCAGGCCGGCCCTCCGCACTGCAGGACCCCAGCAGGAAGCTGAGAGCGGAGGAGCTCCCCACCCAGCACGTTATACAAGAAGGGCCCCACCACACCGGACCCCACCTCATACACAGTATACGCACCGTGCGGTCGCGGTGTCCAGGCTCCGCTCTTATAAAACAATGTCGTCCGGTGTTGGCCTCCTCCTCCACCACCAACCCCCGTTCTCCGTAATTCCGCTCCCCCACCTATACGGGAGACGTTCCGTGTTGTGCTGTACCGAAGAGGTACGTCTGTCTGGCAATAAATGTCCGCGTTTTCTCCCCCGTGTCCGCCCGGCCACACACTCACACCTCCGCCTTCTCTCCCTCTCCACACCGCGACACACAGGCTTAAAATGGCGCCGCACACTCTAGTTTTATAGCAGCTCCCTTCGCCGGGTCCGTGTATCCTTCCGCCGCCTCCTGCCTTTCCACACACACAGCGGAGGAGGAGGGCGGAGTGATACGAAAAATAGTCCCGCCTGCCTTCTCTTCCTGCGGGTGAGTGCTGGTAAGTCAAGCGCAGGTTGGTTGGTCGGTAGGAAGGGAGGGAGGTGCGGGATGAAATATATTACAGAATGGGAGCTGCCGAGGAAAAAATAAACGGGTCATACTTCTGCAGGCGTGCAGCTATAGGCTCCTCTGCAGTAAGCCAGCGCTATTGCATTGTATTCTACATAAATAAAAGACTGTTTCTTACTGAGCGACATAGAAATGTTACCGAGGAACACAATTTGTGGAGGTTGTCTATTGTAGTGAGCACATGGACGTGATATATCGCTCGGAGCGCAGTGCTGGACATACTCGGCACATCACAAGCACGTCCTCGGCGCACACACAGCCTCCTCACTCTCAGGTGAAGGGCGGAGGGGCACAGAATGCGCGGTGCCGCCGCTCATTGTCACGATTGGAGAGCCGGCTCCCTGGCGGAGGGATCCTAGACTGGTGATGCGGCCCACGCACCTTTCCCCCGGGTTGGAATGTGAGCTGGAGGAAGGCAGAGCCAGAAACAAAGAGGGAGGGGGTGGGGATGAACATTAACCCTTCCGACACCACAGAAACTTTTCCCTTGTCCAAACACAACTCCAAATGATTGCACATAGAAGCAGCCTTGTCTGTAACCCCAGCCATCTTGTCTACAGCTTCCTTCCTTGCTGTCACTGCATTGTGGGGTGTATTATTGAATGGATTGTCAGAAGGAGCTCCTAATCCATCCAGACAGAGCTTCACTTAGACTCCATTTAGTGTATTGCGTCCACTTTGAAGATATTAAGAAAATGGTGCCAAATCTGACGGGAGAAACTTAACGTGAACCTTTACTGGAAAATTAAAGGAGAAGTTTTGGGTATAAACAAAAAAACAAACATACATACCTCTATGCTGCAGCTGGCTCTAAGACCAAGAACTGAGCGATCACATGAACGCTGATCACTCAGTTCTTGGCCTGCACAGAGCAGAGATCAGTGACTGTCAGTCACCACTCTCTGCTCTGCTCCTCGTTTGCTTATTAGAGAGGGGGTGGGAATAACTAGCTCGTGCTGAGAGGTAGAGCCAGTTGCCAATCAGGCAGCTGGGTGGATCCCGACAATATGGTGGGGATCCTTCCAGAGCCTGGAGTAGCTCTTGGCTTGCACATAGCAGAGATCACTGACTGTCAGTCACCACTCTCTGCTCTGCCCCTTCTTTGCTTATTAGAGAGGGGGTGGGAACAACTAGCTTGTGCTGAGAGGTAGAGCCAGTTGCCAATCAGGCAGCTGGGTGGATCCCGACAATATGGTGGGGATCCTTCCAGAGCCTGGAGTAGCTGTGGAACATCAGCTTATAGCAGGCTTTAGCCCACTGCAGCTAATTCTGGGTCAAAAGAGTGCAAAAGTATTTACACTCCTGTGAAATGTGGTCAAAAAAGCTTTGGCCATACTACTCTTTAGTTACTTTCTTTTATTTGCTCTTTTTTAACGTGATCCTACTAATGCAATATTTTTTTTTATGGTACCTTTTTTATGGTATCCACTCCCCTTTCCTCATTCCTTGCCTAGGCTCAGATGATGTCACAGAACACCTGCCCGCTGCCTCCTGAGATCCTGTTGCACATCCCAGGAGGCTGCAGGACCAGTCCCATGGCAGGCTGTAGATGGTGCATGCACAGTGGGGAGCCAGCTGTGATTCATTAGGAAGCGACAGCCAGCTCCTAAAACCAAGATGGGTGTTACAAAGGAACAGGGACCCCAAGAAGCATCATCTGTGTAAAAGGCAGCACTGGACTGCATGAGTGGTAAGCAGGGATGAGCACAAATGTGGTTTAAACTTGCTGTAAGAAGGTGTCATTCACACGTGATCAGCTGCAGCCAGAATGATTCCTGCAGATGCACATATATAAGGGGCAAGGACATCACTGGCTTAATATGGACATTTGTACAATCTGGTTGACAAAATCTGACTGTGTGGAACGTCTCCCCCATTTCCCTTATTACACAGGGCTGCAAGATGGGGAATGCCCTTGCCACGGTTGGTTGGGCACTGATTTGGCAGAAGTGACAGCTTACTTCCGGGTTTGATTTTGACCAAGCCTATGCTCATCCCCACTGTGGTAAGTATAAATACACACACACACACACACTAAAACTGGAGAGTGCAAAATCTGGTGCAGTTCTGCATAGAAACCAATCAGCTTTCAGGTTTTTTTTGTCAAAGCTTATTTGAACAAGCTGAAGTTAGAAGCTGATTGGCTACCATGCACAGCTGCACCAGATTTTGCACTCTCCAGTTTTAGTAAATCAACCCCAATGGTCATAATATGTCTCTTCTGCAATAAAGGATTCTTACTTGTCTATTTGCATTCTTCCGGACAATGCATGAGCAGGTCAGTTTACAATTTCAGCATATGCCATATAAATTAAGTCCTATACATACATGGGTGTAATGTCATCCCGACCAATAAAGATGGCTGAAGATCACAAACCAAGAAGACCGGGTGAAGATACTGGCAGATGTCACATTGGGGGAGTGGAGTATAGACCTGCTTTAAAGTGTTACTAAACCCATGACCCTGCTTTCACTATATCTGGTCTTCTACAGTACACAGAAAAATGGAAATGAAATTATTTTATCAAAAATAAACTGCTAAATACTTTCTCATCAGCTGTATATAGCAGTCTTGTGACTTCTATCAGTGTCCAGCTGAGCACTGGTTAAAGCTTGTAGGAGTTTTTATACTGCTCTGGCTGTTGCTGGACAGTGCTGATTGGTGCTGTGCACATGCACCCTTCCAAAGAAAAAATAAACCTCTCTAGCTAAATATACTAAACTGAGCATGTGCAGAGTGACTCCCAGGGTTCTGTACAATCAGCAGATGGATTGGGGACAGTAGAAGGAGGGATCAGAGAAGACAGGATCAAACAGTCTTTTTACACAATTTGGAGGAATAACCCCTTAGGCTCCACAGTGAGTATAAAGCATGCTTTACTGCATATAAAGACTGATTTCACTGCTGTGGGTTTAGTAACACCTTAATATGTAAAGGTTAGAGGAAAAGGGGATATGATTAACCACCTCCCGTCCGGCCGATGTATATAAACGGCCAGTCAGTGGCAGTGCAGAGTTGGGTGGCCATTTATAAATGGCCTCCCCGCACCCTGCTTGTGTGCGCTCCCTGGGAGTGCGCAGCACCGCGATCCGGTGCCCGCTGTGCCCTCTGGACACAGTGGAACACCGATCGTCGGATGGGACCTCTGTACGAGGTCCCGATCATGTGATCGCTGATTGGCCAATCAGTGATCACATGCAAAGTAGTAAGTAAGATGTCACTTGTGACATCATTGTTTACTATGTGTGAAATCTGTGAATGATCACAGAGGTCACATGGTACAAGGCTATTCACAACAGCCTTGTACCATGTGACAAGCTGTGACCAATCACAGCTCACTCAGTAGTTCTCAATGGCTGCAAGAATACAGCTAGAGAGAAGGGGAAATGATTGCTTTTACATCCTTAATGGGATGTAAAAGCAATCAGTGTGAAAAAAAAAAAAATCTTCATCACCCCCCACAAGTAGTACAGTGTCACCATGGTGACACTGTATTGCTAGAGTGACAGTATGTAAAAAAAAATATAAAAAAAAATATAAAAAAACTTTAAAATTATAATTTTGGTTATAAACTAATTTTGGTTATTTTTTTTTTTTACTAAAAATATAACGGAATAAATTTTGGCCAAGATTTATGATGAAATATTATTTATTTGCAAAATTTTATAAGAAAAACACTTTATTTCAAAATTTTTGGACTTTTTAATTTACATAGCAAAAAAAATAAAAATCTCAGAGGTGAATAAATACCACCAAAATAAAGCTTTATCTATCTCAAAAAAAGCTAAAAAATTCATATGGGTTCAGAGCATGACCGCGCAATTGTCATTCAAAGTGTGATAGCACTGAAAGCTGAAAATTGGCCTGGACAGGAAGGGGGTAAAAGTGTCCGGACTGGAAGTGGTTAAAGGCCAGTGATGCTCCATCTGCAAGTTTCCTTGCTGGCACCAACATCTTTGCCCAATCCTCTTCTGGGTCTGGCATGTTCTTGATTTGCCAACCAAGGATAACATAACTCTTGCACATAGGAGTTAATTTATTCCAGCACAAAGGAATACTGCGATTATACACTTAGTTGTGCATGCACAGTTATTTTTAAAGATAAATATTTTAAATATTTTTTTGAACATTTCTAAAAAATATTTTAGGAATGGCAGTAGAAGCTGCAGTTTATTTATTTTTTTTAAATATCTATTTTTTTTATATTTTAATTGCAGTTGGGCTCTAAAGAGACACTGAGATCAACTCTCTAAAAGATAAATATCACATTCATGTTTGCCTTACAATACCTCATGTTGTATTTAGCTAAAAAGTAGTTTACTGCGAAAATGTGTTATTTAACAAAAGCGTTAAATATCTGTTATTTTTACATTTTATTTATTTATTTATTTTTTTACAGGCACGACACTAGAGAAAGATTGTCCTATGAATGAAGGAACACAGAAATACTGTGGAAGTATAAAAACAGCCTTGGTGTGCTTTCATTCACAGGACAATCTCCCTGTAGTAAAATGTTACAATTTTTTACAATTTATTTACATTCCTGAGCTCGGGGCAGAACATTTCCACATTGATACATTGTATACTTTTAACTTACTGGCCAGTGTAGAGTTGTCCTGATTGTTATTGTGTACATTCCTAAAATACCGACTGCCTGTTTTTTTAGTGAATTTTCTTTAATGAATTATCGAGTTTTTAATTTTAATAAATGTACGTATTTACCTCAAATTTAGTATTTTACTTTTTTTTTTAATTGAGTTGTCTTTTTTTTTTAATTATTGCATGCAATATTTCCAAAAAAAACACCCACAGTCACCTTGCCCATGCATTGCCATTTACAATGAAAAGAGGCCACCTTCAACCCACTCATACTCACCTTGCGAGTTCTTCCTTTTTTACGCCTTCCTCCAGTGCAAAGTCACTGTCTCAGTCAGGTGACAGTGCTGGGGTTTAATGATTGGTATCTGGACCCCAGCACAGTCACAGGGAAGGCGATTACATTCTTCCTCATACCTTGAAGTTTTAGGTATTGTAAACAGCTGTAGAGAAGAGCAGGGATGTAGGTAATGTAAGTATAAAGATAGCCATACATGTGTAGATGTTTTCAGCGATTGCACATGATCTAACTGAATATCAGCCAATTCAGCAGGATTGAGCCAAAATTTGAGGCATGTATGGATTCTAGGATGGAGGAGGGGGGGGTCCCTTTCACATGGGCAAGGTGACATTGTCTCTTTAAACAGGCTCGGAATAAACATAGGCCCATCTTCAACCATAAATATAACCAAAAAAAAAGGACAGATTGTTATACCACTTGCATTTTTTATCCTCACAGGGAAAGCAGTTTTTTTTTTTTTTTTTTTTTTTTTTTTGTTTGTTTTTTAACAATACTAAATACATAGTATATTTTGGTCTGAAGCAAAATAATATATTTTGTGTGTAAGATGGCTACATCCATCTTGTATTGATATTTAAAGCAGAACTAAACTATCTGAGAACCACAAACTGAAAATGCTATTACATTCATTTTTAATATTCAAAGTAAACTCATCCAATCATGTCTGCATGCTTTTATTTGTTGAGAAATCAGATTGAGCACGGTGGCTAATGGTTAGCACTTCCGCCTGGCAGCACTAGGGTCGTCGGTTCAAATCCCAACCATGGCACTACCTGTGCTGGTTTCCTCCGGGTGCACCAGTTTCCTCCCATACTCCAAAGACATGCTGGTAGAGCAATTGGATCCTGTCTAAATTGGCCCTAGTATGTACAGGTATGAATGTGAGTTAGGGACCTTAGATTGTACACTCCTTGAGGGTTAGGGACTGATGTGAATGTACAATATACAGTCAGGTCCATAAATATTGGGACATCGACACAATTCTAACATTTTTGGCTCTATACATCACCACAATGGATTTGAAATGAAACGAACAAGATGTGCTTTAACTGCAGACTGTCAGCTTTAATTTGAGGGTATTTACATACAAATCAGGTGAACAGTGTTGGAATTACAACACTTTGCATATGTGCCTCCCACTTGTTAAGGGACCAAAAGTAATGGGACAGAATAATAATCATAAATCAAACTTTCACTTTTTAATACTTGGTTGCAAATCCTTTGCAGTCAATTACAGCCTGAAGTCTGGAACGCATAGACATCACCAGACACTGGGTTTCATCCCTGGTGATGCTCTGCCAGGCCTCTACTGCAACTGTCTTCAGTTCCTGCTTGTTCTTGGGGCATTTTCCCTTCAGTTTTGTCTTCAGCAAGTGAAATGCATGCTCAATCGGATTCAGGTCCGGTGATTGACTTGGCCATTGCATAACATTCCACTTCTTTCCCTTAAAAAACTCTTTGGTTGCTTTTGCAGTATGCTTTGGGTCATTGTCCATCTGCACTGTGAAGCGGCGTCCAATGAGTTCTGAAGCATTTGGCTGAATATGAGCAGATAATATTGCCCGGAACACTTCAGAATTCATCCTGCTGCTTTTGTCAGCAGTCACATCATCAATAAATACAAGAGAACCAGTTCCATTGGCAGCCATACATGCCCATGCCATGACACTACCACCACCATGCTTCACTGATGAGGTGGTATGCTTAGGATCATGAGCAGTTCCTTTCCTTATCCATACTCTTCTCTTCCCATCACTCTGGTACAAGTTGATCTTGGTCTCATCTGTCCATAGGATGTTGTTCCAGAACTGTGAAGGCTTTTTTAGATGTCGTTTGGCAAACTCTAATCTGGCCTTCCTGTTTTTGAGGCTCACCAATGGTTTACATCTTGTGGTGAACCCTCTGTATTCACTCTGGTGAAGTCTTCTCTTGATTGTTGACTTTGACACACATACACCTACCTCCTGGAGAGTGTTCCTGATCTGGCCAACTGTTGTGAAGGGTGTTTTCTTCATCAGGGAAAGAATTCTTCGGTCATCCACCACAGTTGTTTTCCGTGGTCTTCCGGGTCTTTTGGTGTTGCTGAGCTCACCGATGCATTCCTTCTTTTTAAGAATGTTCCAAACAGTTGTTTTGGCCACGCCTTATGTTTTTGCTATCTCTCCGATGGGTTTGTTTTGTTTTTTCAGCCTAATGATGGCTTGCTTCACTGATGGTGACAGCACTTTGGATCTCATCTTGAGAGTTGACAGCAACAGATTCCAAATGCAAATAGCACACTTGAAATGAACTCTGGACCTTTTATCTGCTCATTGTAATTGGGATAATGAGGGAATAACACACACCTGGCCATGGAACAGCTGAGAAGCCAGTTGTCCCATTACTTTTGGTCCCTTAAAAAGTGGGAGGCACATATGCAAACTGTTGTAATTCCTACACCGTTCACCTGATTTGGATGTAAATACCCTCAAATTAAAGCTGACAGTCTGTAGTTAAATTACATCTTGTTCGTTTAATTTAAAATCCATTGTGGTGATGTATAGAGCCAAAAATGTTAGAATTGTGTCGATATCCCAATATTTATGGACCTGACTGTGTATATATTCATATACATAAAGAGCTGCTTAAATTGATGGTGCTATATAAGTACCTGTAAAAAATACAAACACCCCCCTAGCATTTCTAGCAGTAGTCATCTTGATTAAAGGCAGATGATTCATGTAGCATTTACTTCTTGGAATCCATCAGCCCTACACTCAGGGATGCAGACAGGAGGGTGTGCTGAGAAACCCCCTTTTTTCCTCCTCCTCCAGGTGAAAAAAAAGACCATGAAGATGTCAGGGATGTATGACTTTTGGTCTAGGCCAGATACCAGGAAGTAACTGGAGAAATGTAAAAAAAAAAAAAAAAAAATCTTTAAACCAGTAAATATAATAAACCTTCCTACCTATTTACTAATGCTAGCAGCATCATGATTAACACAGTTAATGTTGAGAAAGGTCCACTGTAATATATTGAATACATTTGGGATTGTTTATATTTGGAACAACTGATCATGCAAAAAAAAAAGTGTAGTTTATTTAAGGCTATGGATCATGTGAAGACCTTTCTCATCACATACTTGTTTGACTCCTTTTTAAATCATAATGATAACAGAAATCACCCACATGGTCCTGATCAAAAGTTTACATACCCTGGAATGTTTGGCCTTGGTACAGACACACAAGGAGACACACACAGGTTAAAATGGCAATTAAAGGTTAATTTCCCACATCTGTGGCTTTTTTAAATTTCAATGTGTTTCTGTGTATAAATAGTGAGTTTGTTAGCTCTCATGTGGATGCACTGAGCAGGCTAGATACTGAGCCATGGGGAGCAAAAAAGAGCTGTAAAAAGACCTGCAAAACAAGATAATAGAACTTTATAAAGATAGAAAATGATATAAAAAGATATCTAAAGCCTTGAATATGCCAGCCAGTACTATTCAATCACTTATTAATAAGTGGAAAATTCAGGGATTTCTTGATACCAAGCCAAGGTCAGGTAGACCAAGAAAGTTTGCAGCCACAACTGGCAAAAGAATTGTTTGGGATACAAAGAAATACCCACAGGTAACCTCAAGAGAAATACAGACTGCTCTGGAAAAAAAGGTGGTGTGGTTGTTCCAAGGAGCACAAAAGGATGATACTTGAACAAAAATGAGTTGCCAGAAAGAAGCCTTTACTGCACCAATGCCACAAAAAAGCTTGGTTACAATATGCAATACCTTGATATGCCTCACAGCTTCTGGTACAAAGTAGTCTAGAGTGACAAGACCAAAATAGAGCTTTCTGGTCACAACCATAAGCGCTATGTTTGAAGAAGGGTCAACAAGGCCTATAGCTACAAGAATACTTGCTTGGTCATACTTCTCTTCTGGGTCACAGAACTTACTGTACTTACTTTTGCACTCCTGTGACCCACAATCGGCTGATTGTGGTCTAAAGCTTGCTGCCAGCTGACATCACATAACCAATCAAGGCTTGGAAGCATCCTGAAAGTTATGTCGGGATCCACGCAGATGCCTGATCAGCGGCTGGCTCAGCCGCTCAGTGAGCCACTGAGACCATGAGCCGGACGCTCCCACCCGCTTCACAGCAAGGTACTGGAGGGGCAGAGCAGAGAGCAGCGACTGACAGTCACCACCAGAGCTGACCAAGAACTGAGCAATCAGTGGTCATGTGATAGATCAGTTCCTGGGTTTAGAGTCAGCAGGGACAGCTGCAGCATCACACTGATGCTGCAATCATTGAAGAGAGGGTGCATCTTTTTTGCTTTTTTTTTATTCCCACACTTCTTAATGGTGACATCATCAGTGTGCTGTATATAGCCTGTACTGAGAGCAGAACTGTGTGTGGGGCCCAGTAGGTCCTCCCACTACAGGCTGCCTACAGAGAAGTACAGAGTGTGGAGATAAGACCAGTTACTCTGCACAAGGAGAGAGGGAGGCAGTGGCTGGTCTTTAATAACTGCTTCCCGTCTGCCCTATAGCAGATATACTGCTACAGGACGGCACAGGTGCGCAAAATCACATATATAGGTACGTGATTTCGCATTTCCGGGGTGGGGGGCGCCATGGCTGTCAATTACTGTTTCCCGGCCGGTGATTACTCGCCGGTGCTCAGTGATTTCCAACAATTTTCGTCGGGGAGGAGAACTGTTTTGTTTACTAACAGTCCTCCTCCCTGTCAGCTAGGGTACACTGCTTTGCACAGCACAGCCATCCAAAGCAGTGTGCTTACAGTAAAACACTCCCAGCACACAGTTAACCCTTTGATCACCCCTCATGTTAACCTCTTTATGCCCAGTACCATTAGTACAGTGTCAGTACTTTTTTTTTAGCACTGATCACTGTATTGGTGTCAATGGGGATGTCAGTGACACCAAGTTAGTTCCCCCCCAGTGTCAGAATGTCCATCGCAGTCCCACAGTCCCGCTAAAAGTCACTGATCGCTGCTATTACTAGTAGAAAAAAAAATCCCATTATCTATACCGCCATTTGTAAATGCTATAACTTTCATGTAAACCAATTAATTTACACATATTGGGATTTGTTTTAGCAAAGACATGTCACAGAGTACAGTTTGGCCTAAATTTATGATGAAATTAGATTTTTTTAAATTTTTTTACTTGACATGTTTAATAGAAAAAAGTCAAAAATATTGTTTTTTCTTTCTTAAAATTGTTGTTTTTTTTTATAGCAAAAAAAATAAAAACCACACACGCGATCAAATACCACTGAAAGAAAGCTCAATTTGTGGGAAAAAAAAGGGACGTAAATTTCAATTGGGTGCAGCGTTGCATCACAGCGCAATTGTCAGTTAAAGTAACGCAGCGTCGTAACGCAAAAAATGGCCTGGTCAGGAAGGGGGGTAAATCCTCTGGAGGGCAAGTGGTTAAAGGAAACTCCAGCACAAAGGCAAAGTTCCATGCAGGATTGCTGTATATTTATAATCTTATATTTAGACAATATTTGCTTATCTGGGAGTTCAGCATTAAATACAGTATAGCATTTCCAACACCTACAATCTATTTTATAAGACATATTATTAAAGCTGTAGCGAGACAGAATAAACACAGGTAATGCTAACAAGACATAAAATAAAACTTGTAAGCTGTAATCAGTAGGTTTAACACAGCAGCTAAGCGAAGAAGGGAAGCTGTATGCACTGGTCTAGTTTCACAATCTATGCTTTTCTTTGTCCTGTCTGTACACATTTGTTACACTAAAATACCATAAACATATTTTTAACAACTCAGTTTCAGTCTGGGAAAACCGGCATCGTCTCAAACTATTTGCAAATGACTCATGGAAATGTGTCATGTAAAATGTGTCCATTTAGAAATGTGCATGCCACATACACCTGGATTTCTTCTGTCTGTCCTTCCAAGAACAAATTTATTAATGCTAGGGCAAAGCTGAGTAAATATTTGAAGCACCAGCGTATAGCATAGAACAACTGAGAACATGGAACCATTCGCGTTAATTTCTGAAACACTCAGGCAAACACACTGTGGGACAGTTTGGGCAGAAGCCAATTAATCTCTGTTATTAAATTATTTAAAGTGGAAAACAAGGCACCAGATTTAAAGGTGTAGGTCAGTAAAGAAATCCTTGATAAATACATTGAAAATCTGCACTCTTATATAATAGTGAAAATAACATAAAATTGCTTTTACAATCCGGTCACATGATGCTGCTGGTCAGCTTCCTATTTAATTGCAGAAGTTAATGTTGGTAATGCAGTGTCATCACATGACACTAGTATTGTACTGTCAGTCAGCCTCTGTTGACAGGAGAGCAAAAATCTATGGAGGGTTCAACTTACAGTTCCCTTTCTGAGCCATTATGACACCCAAAGTGACAGAATTGTGGCAGCTTTATCACCATTTAAGTGCACAGAAAGTTTTACCAATGTGACATCAATATTAACTAAGGGCTTGTTCAGACAGGTGCTGAGACGGGTGCCCGCCCTCCATGCTGAGTCGCTTTTCGCTGCATGTGCGTCCACCGTGAAACTGCGTACAGGTAGTCCACAGAAGTGGATGCAGACACAGCAACTGCAGTCACAGTTACATGTCGAAATCTGACATACAGGCAGGAGCACAAGCACTGGTCTGAATGCAGTATTCGGATCCATGCACCTGCATGTCAGATTTCAAAATGCAATTGTTCTGCACTCCTGTGACCCAGATAAGTCTGACAGCTGGCTAAAATCCACTGTTGGCTGACTTCACAGAACCAGTTCATGCTCTGCAGGGATCCAAACAATAATGTCAAGATCTACTTAGGTGCCTGACTGACAGCTGGCTCAGCCTCTCAAAGCAGTAACTGACAGACTGATCTGCGGTCCTTGATTGTTCAGTTCTTGGTGTAGAGCCAGAGGGGACAGCTAGGTATGTATGTATGTTTATTATTTTATATTCCCACACTTCTATTTTAGGGCCCATTAGCACTTGGAACTGCATGCAAATTTCTTTTGTGCAGTGTGATATCAGCCCACTTAAAATGAATTGACTGAAATTGCACTGCACATAACTGCATGTGAATCGCACAGAAACGTGTAGCACATTCCTGTGCGATTCACATGCAGTTCTGTGCAGTGCGATTTCAGTCAATTCATTTTAAGTGGGCTGATATCACACTGCACAAAAGAAATAGCAGACGCATAGTGGTGCAGTCCATGTTGTGATAATTAAATGGATAAAATTCCAGAGAAGACAAGGGCAATCCAGTAAGCACTCGGGCAAGCTGTGATGGAGTGAAGCAGACATTGGAGTAGAAGAATAAAAGCAAAGAACACAGCGCCTCTAAGTGTAGACTGTATAATAATTTTAATAAAAGGTATGTATGTTATACTTACCTTTTATTAAAGTTATTATACAGTCTACACTTAGAGGCACTGTGTCCTTTGCTTGAAATCACACTGCACCGCAGCAAAAGTAGTGCATGCACTGCTTTTGGAAATGCACTGCAGCCATATTGCATGGTATTTTTGTACCATGTGATCCAGTGTGGGCAAATGCACTGCTTTTGCAATGTCATTAACTTTGGTACGGATATCTGTTGCAGTTCGCAAGGCCAGTGCGGTTTGAAAGAGGTGTGGGAAACCAGTAGGGAATGTGGGTTTCCCGCACGGCAGTCTATTATGAATGGGCCCTTAGCCCTGGTTCACACTGAATGCGATTTTGAAATCGCGCTACTTCACTTGAAGTAGTGCGATTTCAAAGCCGCAGATCAGTGCTATTTGTACCTCCTGTGCCTTGCAACTTCATTTAACAGAAATCAATGCAAGGCAAAATTAAATCAGAAAAGAGTAGTGCAGGAACCATTTTTGAAATTGCACTACTTCAAAGCGCACTGATTAACCACTTCCCATCCGGCCCATGTACATAAAATGGCTGGACGGTAGCAGTGCAGGAGCGGTTGGCCGTTTATAAATGTGCTCTCCGCTTCCCTGCTTGTGCGTGCTCCCCGGGAGCGTGTGGCATCGTTTGCCCGCTGTGTCCGGAGGACACTGATCACTGTACAGGACCTCTGTGTGTGGTCCCGATCATGTGATCACATGAATAGTAGTAAGCAAGATGTCACTTCCTGACATCATTGCTTACTACTAGTGAAATCTGTGAATGATCACAGAGGTCACATGGTACAAGACTATTCACAACAGCCTTGTACCACTGTGACAAACTGTGACCAATCACAGCTCTCACAGTATTTCTCAATGGCTGCAAGAATGCAGCCAGAGAGAAGGAGAAATGATTGCTTTTACAGCCTTTATGTGTGTAAAAGCAATCAGTGTAGAAAAAAAAAAATCTTCATCACCCCCCACAAGTAGTACAGTGTCACTATGGTGACACTATGTTAAAAAAACATAAATAATAATATTAAAAAAAATTAAAATGTAAAAACATTTTTTGAAAAAATTATAATTTTTGGTTATAAACTAATGTGGGTTATTTTTTTTTTTTTACTAAAAAGAAAGCTGAATACATTTTGGCAAAGATTTATGAAGAAATATTATTTATTTGCAAAATTGTGTAAGAAAAACACTTTTTTTCAAAATGTTTATACTTTTTCATTTATATAGCAAAAAAAAAAAAATCCAAGTGGTGAATAAAAACCACCAAAATAAAGTTTTATCTGTCTCAAAAAATGCTAAAAAATTAATATGGGTACAGTTTTGCATGACTACGCAGTTGTCATTCAAAGTGTGATAGCACTGAAAGCTGAAAATTGTCCTTAACAGGAAGGGGGTGAAAGTGTCCGGACTTGAAGTGGTTAAGACAGTGCCATAGAAATATACTAGATGCAATTTCAGGTGCAATTTGTAAATTGCATGTCGTATCTGAAGTCGCACCGGTGTGAACTGGGGCTTAAGCTAGTTGTGTTGATTTCATGATTTACATCATCTTCCCAGTAGACTGTCACTAAAATATCAAGCACTACTGAAATCCACCATAGGAGACTATATTAGTCTGGGATAAAAAACAGTCCCACTTCAAGGTAGGCAGCAGAGGGAAATGAGGGACTACATACAGTGGGGATCGAAAGTTTGGGCACCCCAGCTAAAAATTTGTATTAATGTGCATAAAGAAGCCAAGGAAAGATGGAAAAATCTCCAAAAGGCATCAAATTACAGATTAGACATTCTTATAATATGTCAACAAAAGTTAGATTTTATTTCCATCATTTACACTTTCAAAATAACAGAAAACAAAAAAATGGCGTCTGCAAAAGTTTGGGCACCCTGCAGAATTTATATCATGCACTGCCCCCTTTGCAAAGCTGAGACCTGCCAGTGTCATGGATTGTTCTCAATCATTGTCTGGGAAGACAAGGTTATGTCAATCTCAAAGGTTTTAAATGCCCAGACTCATCTGACCTTGCCCCAAAAATCAGCACCATGGGTTCTTCTAAGCAGTTGTCTAGAAAACTGAAACTGAAAATAGTTGACGCTCACAAAGCTGGAGAAGGCTATAAGAAGATAGCAAAGCGTTTTCAGAGGTCAATATCCTCTGTTCGGAATGTAATTAAGAAATGGCAGTCATCAGGAACAGTGGAAGTTAAAGCAAGATCTGGAAGACCAAGAAAAATATCAGACAGAACAGCTTGCAGGATTGTGAGAAAAAACAATTCAAAACCCACGTTTGACTGCACGATCCCTCCAGAAAGATCTGGCAGACACTGGAGTTGTGGTACACTATTCCACTATAAAGAGATACTTGTACAAATATGGTCTTCATGGAAGAGTCATCAGAAGAAAACCTCTTCTACGTCTCACCACAAAAATCATCGTTTGAACTTTGCCAATGAACATATAGACAAGCCTGATGCATTTTGGAAACAAGTTCTGTGGACCGATGAGGTTAAAATTTAACTTTTTGGCCGGAATGAGCAAAGGTACGTTTGGAGAAGAAGGGGCACAGAATTTAATGAAAAGAACCTCTGTCCAACTATTAAGCATGGGGTTGGATCAATCATGCTTTGGGGTTGTGTTGCAGCCAGTGGCACAGGGAACATCTCACAAGTAGAAGGAAAAATGGATTCAATAAAATTTCAGCAAATTGTGGATGGTAACTTGATGCCATCTGTGAAAAAGCTGAAGTCAAAGAGAGGATGGCTTCTACAAATTGATAATGATCCTAAAACACACCTCGAAATCCATGGGGGATTACATCAAGAGGCGTAAACTGAAGATTTTGCCATGTCCTTCACAATCTCCTGACCTCAACATAATTGAAAATCTATGGATAGACCTTAAAAGAGCAGTGCGTGACAGACAGACAGCCCAGAAATCTCAAAGAACTGGAAGACTTTTGTAAGGAAGAATGGGCAAAGATACCTCAAACAAGAATTGAAAGACTCTTGGCTGGCTACAAAAAGCGTTTACAAACTGTGATACTTGCCAAAGGGGGCAGTACAAGATATTAACTCTACAGGGTGCCCAAACTTTTGCAGATGCCATTTTTTTGTTTTCTGTTATTTTGAAAGTGTAAATGATGGAAATAAAATCTAACTTTTGTTGACATATTATAAGAATGTCTAATCTGTAATTTGATGCCTTTTGGAGATTTTTCCATCTTTCCTTGGCTTCTTTATGCACATTAATACTAATGTTTAGCTGGGGGTGCCCAAACTTTCGATCCCCACTGTATATCTTTGATCTGCTTAGTGCCCTGAGATCACTATAGTTACATGGCTGGTAAATACATTTCCCAAGCTAAATGGCTTTAGCTTCCAATACACAAGTGGATTGCCTGAAATATGTAATTTTAGATCAGGGGTCTCCAAACTTTCTAAACAAAGGGCCAGTTTATTATCCTTAGACTTTAGCGGGGCCGGACTGTGGCCAGCGGGAGTGGACATTTTCCTGGCATCAGTGAGACTAAACATCACTACATTTGGAATTGGGGGAGTAATCGTGCCACATTGCAGGTGCCAATGAGAAAAATGATGTCCCATTGTTGATGTCAGTTTGAGGAATAGTGGATGAATAAAAGAAAGCAAAGAGCTGCAGTTTGGAGATCAATGTTTTAGATGATCAGCCACATGTGAGATTATTTACTAGCCCACATTAACCAGTTGCGTTCTGCCCTATAGCAGAAACACTACTACAGGGTGGCAGGGCTGCACAAAGTCACCTATATATACGTGGATTTCTGGGTAGGGGGCGCACGCGTGCACACGCCTCCCTACCCGTGTCGCCATTGGCGGCTATGGATGTCAATCACTGGGTCCTGGCTGGAGATTCTCCGCCGGTGATCACTGAGAAACTGTGAAAGGGGAGACACAGGCTCTCTCCTGCCAGCAATAACATTCTGCTGTGTATTTCTCTGCAGAGCACAGCAGCATGTTTCCCAAGTAAAACACACACAGCATACAGTTAACCCTTTGATTACCCCAGATGTTAACCCCTTCCTGCCCAGTGTCATCAGTACAGTGTCAGTGCTTTTTATTAGAACTGATCACTCTATTAGTGCCATTGGGATGTCAGTGGCAGTTAGTCAGTTCCCCCCCAGTGTCAGAATGCTCGCTGCAGTCCCGCTATAAGTCGCTGATCGCTGCAATTACTAGTATAAAAAAAAATGCCAGTGTATATATACCATTTGTAGACGCTATAACTTTCACGTAAACTAATTAATTTACACGTATTGGGATTTTTTTTAGACATGTAGAATACATTTTGGTCTAAATTTATGAAGAAATTAGATTTTTTACATTTTTTTACTGGACGTTTTATAGCTAAAAGTAAAAAATATATATTTTTCTTCAAAACTGTCGTCTTTTTTTTGTTTATAACACAAAAAATAAAAACCGCACAGGTGATCAAATGCCACCAAAAGAAATCTCTATTTGTGGGAAAAAAGGACATACATTTTATTTGGGTGTAGCATTGCATGACTGCGCAATTGTCAGTTAAAGTAACGCAGTGCCTTATTGCAAAAAATGGCCTGGTCAGGAAGGGGGGGGGGGGGGGGGGGGGGGGGAAATCCTCTGGAGGGTCAGTGGTTAAATATATTTACACATAGTTACATACAGTTGTGTTCAAAATAATAGCAGTCAGATATCACTAACCTGATCAATCACTGTTTTTGGTAGAAATTATATTTCTACATGGCAAATAATTTACTAGCAGGTGCAGTAGAGTAATAGAAATCCAACAGACCCAACAGTCATGACATGCATGCTGCTGATTCTGTGTAATTGAATCACTAATTGAAAGGGGCATGTTCAAAATAATAGCAGTGTGGAGTTCTATTAGTGAGGTCATTCATTCTTTGAAAAACAGGTGGCAATTATTGCCCTTATTTAAGGAAGGAAGGCAGCAAATGTTGTATATGCTGGTTACAGTGCATTTCTCTCTGAAATTCTGAGGAAAACTGAGTCGTTCCAGACATTGTTCAGAAGAACAGCGTACCTTGATTAAAAAGTTGATTGGAGAGGGGAAAACATATAAAGACGTGCAGAAAATGATAGGCTGCTCAGCTAAAATGATCGCAAATGTTTTTAAAATGGCAACCAAAACCCAAAAAGACGTGGAAGAAAGCGAAAAACTACCATTGGAATGGATAGAAGAATAACCAAAATGACAAGGACTCAGCCAACAATCAGCTCCAGGAAGATCAAAGAAGGTCTAAAGTTACCTGTGAGTACTGTTACAATTAGAAGAGGCCTATGTGAAGCCAATCTATCTGCAAGAAGCCCCCTCAAAGTCCCACTGTTGAAAAAAAGACATGTGCTGAAGAGGTTACAATTTGCCAAAGAGCACATTGACTGGCCTAAAGAGAAATGGCGCAACATTTTGTGGACTGATGAAAGTAAGATTGTTCTTTTTGGGTCTAGTGGCCGGAGACAGTTTGTCAGACGACCCCCAAACACTGAATTCAAGCCACAGTACACTGTGAAGACAGTGAAGCATGGTGGTGCAAGCATCATGATATGGGGATGTTTCTCATACTACAGCGTTGGGCCTATTTATCGCATACCAGGGATCATGGATCAGTTTGAATACATCAGAATACTTGAAGAGGTCATGCTGCCTTATGTTGAAGAGGAAATGCCCTTGAAATGGATGTTCCAACAAGACAACGACCCCAAACACACTAGTAAACGTGCAACATCTTGGTTCCAGACCAACAAGATTGACGTTATGGAGTGGCCAGCCCAATCCTCGGATCTTAATCCAATAGAAAACTTGTGGGGTGACATCAAAAATGCAGTTTCTGAGGCAAAACCAAGAAATAGGGAAGAACTGTGGAATGT